TCCCTAAGGGCTTTAGCATATTTTTCGATGCGTTTTTCTTGATGAAGGAATTTTTTTGAATTTTTTCTTTATTTTTATGTCAATCTACATTCATTTCTGCACATTTTGATGCAATAAAAAATTTCTCCGTACACCAACTTTAAAAATCTAGGCCACAACCTAAAAAAACTGGGCCATGACCTAAAAAATCTAGATCAGGACCTAAAAAAACTGGGCCACAACCTAAAAAATCTAGGTCACGACCCAAAAAAATCTAGGTCACGACCTAAAAAAATCTAGGTCACGACTTAAAAAAAATCTAGGTCACGACTAAAAAAATCTAGGACCTGTGCCTTTGTCTTACTGTACTTTGTGTCGATTTGATTATTTAGTCTTTTTCGGCCCAATTTTAGAGTTTTCCGGGTAAAATTTTTCGAATTCTCTACTCAAAAATAGAAAAAAATACCTTGCCACCGAACAGACAACAATTGTGCATATAAAATAGTTGATGTCGAAATCGATGAACTTGTATACGTCGGATCGCACTCTCGAATCGAATTCCAACTGACAAATGGCAATAAAACGACGGCGATTCGAATTCCGGGCTGACAATTCCCATATTTTGAACAGAAACAAGAGGTCATATTCAGTTTTTGAGCAGTTTTTTGGAGCATTTCAACTTCGGTACGGGATAGAATGCCGCCTGGATCGCAGACGTATGGGGTCTGAAAATATTTTTTTTAAATTTGGGTCGAAAAGTAAAAAAATGAGCCTGGGATATTCAAAAAAAAACTGCTAAAAATCCATATATATTGACAGATTTTCAGCAATTTGTTATGGAAGTTTCGCAATGTTTGAATGAAGTTTTTAGTCAAATTTCATAGATTTTCAAAAGATTTTTCAAGGGAAATTAATTTTTTGGGATATTTTAGCCATTTTTTTTTCTAACCTTATGATACGGAATTTGGCAGAAAACACTAAAATTGGCAGATGTCGGTAGGGGAAATGTGCATGGACCCGATGTGATGAGACCTCGTTGGATGGGCGAACCGTACGTGCTGAAAATGGGAAAATATTGAATTTTGAAATTCCAGTATTTTTGGATTTCTAATGTTTTGAATTTTTGGATATTAAGATTTTTGAAAATTCTGGATTTCTAAATTTCCGAGTTCCTGATATTCTATAATTAGAATTTTTAGAATTTCAGGATATTTGAATTTCTGAGTTTGGAGATTCCACAACTTTTAGCTTTTTTAAAGTTCTGGAATTTCTGATTTTTCATAAATTTCAAATGTTTTCTTACCATAATACTGTAGAGATGGATAGAAGAAATACATAAAATCGGGTAGAGAAATAAAAAGTTTCCATATTTGCTGGTTGTTTTGAGATCATAAAATGAAGAACCACATTTGGGCAGGATATCTGAAAATACATAAAACTTTAGAATTTTTAGAAAGAAAAATTGAATGAGAAAAATTGAAAGAATACAACATGAAGAAAAAAAAACAATTTCGGAAAAAAAAGTTTGAAAAACCTTGTTGAAAATTATAAAATTAACAATTTTCAAAATTTTTTAAACTCTAAAAAACCACTCCATCAAAAACTATAATTTCATTTGAAATTCAAAATTCTCGAATGTAAGTATTGGAATTTCCAGAAACCCAAAAAAAAATCCCAAAAAAATGGAATCTTTAGTTTCTGACAGCTGAAAAAACGGCAGTTATTTTCATGTTTCTATGACGATTTTTATGTAAATTGTTGATGGATTTATAGCTGTTTCGACAACTGGTTTTTTCTAGTTATCCTGTTTTTTTAAGAATTTTCGGTTGGGAAATTTCAGTGAAAATTTAGGAAAATGACATCATTTAAAAATGAAATTGTCACAAAGAGAAAGTTACCGTAAAACCTGTATTAGAAGGGCCGGCCCTTCTATTTCTCCACTGTACCTCCGGAGGGCCCTTCTATTACAGGGGCCCTTCTATTTTTACGGCGATTTTTCATTAAAAAATTCGATGAATTTTTGTTCAAAATTCATGAAATCTGTCAATTTCACCAAAATTTAGCAAGTTTTTTATCAAAAAAAAAAAGTTTTCCAGCTAATTCATATGAAATTATGGAATTCCCGGAACATTTTTCACTAAAAACGTAAGCAAAATTTCCAATATCAGTACACATTTTGGAGGGGGTCCTTCTTTACAGGGGGCCCTTCTATTACGTTGGCCCTTCTGTTTTTCCAAACCCCTTTCGGAGGGCCCTTCTAATACAGGTTTTACGGCAATTAGAATAATTTATTTATGGAAAATCAATTAAGTGGAATCTACAGAGAATAAATGAAAATTTAGTTTCAAAAAATCTGGAAGCGCTTTCAGGTTCTATTTGAAAAAAAAATGTGGAGCGTTTTGTAAAAATTATGAATATCGAAACTCCCAGAAAAAAATCTTTAGATCATAAATTTGAGAAACTTCCCAATTTTTTATCTATATTTTCCAAATTGAAACTATTACCATAGAAATCAGCTGTTTCTCTAAAAATAGAAAACATTCGACCTTTCGACCTTTTTCGCTTCAGGTGGGTTGAGGAAGAATATAAATAATTCCAGACAGAAAAAACAAAAAAGTTTTTTTTTCGAAATTTTCTTATTTTCAAACAAAAACTGACCGCAAACCTTGAAAAATAGATGAACCGGCAAGTAAAAAACGAAAATTTCTTTTTTTCAGTTAATTAATTTTGTTTTCTTCAGGAAAAAAGGATAAAAAAAAGGAGACTCTCATTTTCAAATTCAATTAATTTTCTAGTTTCGCACATCACATCATAGTTTCAATGCTCTTCTAAAGGATCACAAAACTAATAAAGAACCCTTTTTAAAACTAAAACTGAACCGAAAATCTGGAAGTTTCTTGAAATTTTGATCTAGCAACTTATTTTCAGAACTTCTTACTATAAATTTCAGAAGTTTCGGGATTACTGTAGTTTGGAAGAACCGCAAACTCCATTTTCATGGTCTTGCATTATTTTTGGTCTAGCATCACAAAAATTCGAAATCAGCGGAAAATTTGAGTCCAGAAACTTCTATACTACTATTTTCAGGATTTTTTGGATTACTGTAGTTTGAAAAATCTGCAAACCACAAAACATTGAAATTGACGCGAAATTGCAGAAAAAATGTCTAGGATTTGAAAAATTGGAAGTTCTGACCCAAATTCCATTATCTTTACTCCATTATCTTTACTACTAAATTCCATTATCTTTACTACTAGTTCTGACCCAAATTCCATTATCTTTACTACAAAAAATCGCCAAATTCTGTCTGTGTGTGTGCCCGGTGTTCCCGGTTCCACGATCCTAGCGAAGTCCCCAGTAGACCAAAAATTTTCGAAATTTCACAGATGATCCGAAATAGCAGCAAGATGATGCCCGAATATTTCTAATTTTGAAAATTTGTTTCTGACGTCATCTGGAGACGTTCTTCTATTTTTTACATAGAAAATCTTTCGAAAATTATTTTCACGTCACTCCCGCCTAACCCTTCTATTTTTTTCTAGTCCACTTTATATCTGAAAAAAGGACATTTTGTGGTAATAATTATTTAGTCTTAGTTTTGAAAGAAGAGAGAAAGAAAAAGTTCAGTAAACTTTAAAATTCTGACTTTCTAAATCCCTTAACTTCTCAAAAACTGAATTTCGGAGATTCTGATTCACAAAATTTGATTATTTAGTTTTTTTTAAAAATGCGAAGTTTTTAACTATTCCGATGCCTCAAACATTTGATTTTACCTGAAATTCTAAAATTCTAATTCTAAAGAAATTCGGAAACTCGAAAATACCGAAATTTGAAGCTTCGGAAATTGGCATATAATTCGGAGGGTACAATAATTCGGGGGTACAAAGGGGTACAAAGCATACTTGTGAAATTTCGGCCCGGCCCGGCCCGGCGGCCCGGCAGAAAAAAACAAAATTTTTGAAAAATGAATTTTTGTTTTTGAATTTTGTTTTTGTTTTTGAAAATGAATTTATTGATTTTTAGAATGTAAAAAAACACTGAATACCTTTTTTTGAAACAATGATTCAACTTTTCGCTCAAGAT